ATGCAGGTATCCCCACGCAGCGCGTCCATGTGTCTGGCAAACTCAAAAACCAATCCACTGTGAGGTTTCAGTATGTGTCTTTCCTCACTCAAAGCGACTATGTGTCCGGCAATCTCCAATGCAATTCACCGGTGAGGTTTCAGTATGTGTCTTTCCTCACTCAAAGCGTCTTTGGGTCCGGCACTATCCAACATCACTCAACTCGTGAGGTTTCAGTATGTGTCTTTCCTCACTCAAAGCGTCTTTGGGTCCGGCACTATCCAACATCACTCAACTCGTGAGGTTTCAGTATGTGTCTTTCCTCACTCAAAGCGTCTTTGGGTCCGGCACTATCCAACATCACTCAACTCGTGAGGTTTCAGTATGTAGCTATCCCCACTCAGCGCGTCGATGTGTCTGGCAAACTCAAAAACCAATTCACCTGTGAGGTTTCAGTATGCAGCTATCCCCACTCAACGCGTCTATATGTCTGGCAAACTCAAAAACCAATGCATCTGTGAGGTTTCAGGATGCAGCTATCCTCACTCAACATGTCTATGTGTCCGGCAATCTCCATCACAAATCACCTGTGAGGTTCAGTATGTGTCTATCGTCATTCAACGCGTCTATGTGTCCGGCACTCCAACATCACTCAACCCGTGGGGTTTCAGTATGCAGCTATCCCCACTCAACCAGTCCGTGTGTCTGGCAATCTCAAACCTCACTCAACCCTTGAGGTTTCAGTATACAGTTATAATCACTCAACACGTTAATGCGTACGGCAGCCTCATATATTACTGAGGTTTCCGTAAACAGCTATCCTCACTCCACGCATCCATGCGTCACGCGTTGGTAGCGCATACTACGGGGGCTATTTTTGGGGTGGCGTGTTTTACAGCGCTTTGCCAACAGCGCCAACCCACTTAAGTCTAGAATGGGGTGGCGAGTATATGTGTGTGGGGGGTATGCTATTGGGGGTCCAAGTGCGGGGCCCCTCGAGAGGGAGCACGCACACGTGTATACTGCGTCCCTGCAAGAGATAATGTGTGTATGTTGTGCCGGAAGGAGCACTGTGTGTGATGATCAAGGTTCCTTATTCATCTGCATCGGTCCTGGGCTAACATAGTCCCCAGACATCACTATACTACCGTGGGTGGGCACGGTAGCCTCCGTGGGACGGGGCGGGGGCCTCCAACAAGCCCCGACCTGTCCTTGTTCTCCAAAGAACGCTTACCTGAGAAAACGAGGAACCATCCACGTCGCGGGTTGCGGCGTTGGCGCCCTGAGGGTTCGAACACGCTTTGGAAAGGTGCATATCAGCCAGCCACCCGTGTGGGCGACGGACATGTGTCACCCATGGCAACACAGGGTGTGTGCATGTCGGTCGACCCCGACTCCCCAGCGAATTCCTTTGCGATGGCATGGTGGGTGTTCCAGGAGGATCTCGGCGCTGACTTGGATTATGAAGAAGAGGAGGTACGGTAGCAGAACAAGCAGAGCAGACTTGCTCTTCTGTTCCTGCGATGCACCCAGTGACGAAGGGGACAGATGGTGGAGGCGCGCCAACCATGTCTCCTTCCGCTGGGGGTACTCGTGGAACATCGGAGATGCCTCCGGCGGTGTCGGCCCGGAGCGCCTGTGGGGACTGGCTCCCTTCAGGAGCCTACTGCTGTCTCGCAGAAGGTGGCTGCTGCGTCTGCTCCGCAGCCTACCATAGCCGAGCTTGAGGCACGTGCGTCTCGTGGCGAGCCCAAATCCATTGTGATTTCATGCGCAGGTTCGTGTCCTGCGGACGAAGCCACGACAATGTTGGGGAGGGACAAAGACTAAAAAGGGAAGGGAACGCGTCCGTTGCTCCTAGGTTCGAGTACTCGCTGTTGTTGCTTGATCTCTAATAATAGCCTTCTTATGTGGACCAGGTCCGCTCAGCGCTCACTCGGAGAGTGTGGGAGCGGGGCTGGTATTCTGATCCTCCTTCAAGCAACTTCGTTCAATACCCCACCACGACGCCAAATATCCATACTGTACTATCCAACAATGATTCACAATATGTATCCTTGGAGCGCTCATACGCATTCAGCGCTCATGCAATACCCTCATACAACGCTCATAAACTCCAAACAGGAAGTAGTAGTTGCTCCATTGCCCTCCTGTTTCCCGCAATAGAAGATAGCCACAAGGAGAATAGCCACCTTCGATGATGTTCGACCGTTTGTTCCGACAAGAGTTGACATCGAATCATTTAGTGTACGGTACATCTGATATTATGTCTCGCAGACGGTGCTCATCTCCGTGACGCCTAGATCAAGAAAAAACCAATATCCGCCTCTTCGCGTCTACCGCATTTGGTCATCAGTGATTGTTGTTGTTGTTGTTGTTGTTGTTGTTGTTGTTGTTGTTGTTGTTGTTGTTGTTGTCTTCACATTAAAAACCGTTCCGATCTCTCTCTACCCAGTACCTTCGTATGTCCGTACTGATCGAACACTCGACGCGGTCGATTCCCGTGGTCTCAGGTTAACTTACCCTTAAAAGGTACACTCAAATAAACTGGCCCCGAGGGATCCGCAAGTCAATAGCAATCGACGATAGATATTCTGGAGTCCTCCACTCCCTCTGCGCGCTATCTGCGAGGTAACAACTGAGACTAGGAGTCGCCATCACGGCCCGAAGAGACAGAGGTACAACCCCTTGGTTCAATCTTGGTACTTCACAACGCAAGCAGAGACAAGGCCATCTGACGGCACAGAAAAAGAGAGAAACAGGAGAGAAAAAATAGAGAAAAACAGAAAAATATCCACTTAAGTATATATTATACATAAATGAATAAAAGGAAACAGTTCAATGAGGAAAGAGAAAATATAATGAAAAAGAGCGAGGACAAAAAGGGACCAGGTCGGAAATAACAAGAAGTATGAGACAGAAAAAGGCACACGGTGGAGAGACCACTTACGAACAAGCAAACACTCAAACATGACCACCAACCAGCGATACATTGTAATGGTACGTCATCACTAGTAGTGGGGGGTTGGTGCAATGGTGCAGCGTTGGGGGGGGGGGAATTGGCCACCAGAAATTCAATCCGGCACGTATCGCACCACTCGGTCCGTCTCTTCTCGTTTGCTTTCTTCCCTCGCCGTCTTGTCCGTCTCCTGCCCCCCCTCCCGCGCCATTGGTTGTTGGTTTGTGGTTTCGTTTGAGCGCTCGTTGTCGGCTGTTCTTCTTCCTTCTCGTTCCAGGAGATCATGAACCTCTCAGCTCCCTGCAGCACCGCCGCATGCCAGGGTACTCCCCCCTCCACCTTCGCGGCTTCCGTCCACTTTAACTTCGGTGTGATGTCTTTCGGTACCGGGATTCCGAGACACCATGGACCGCTTTTCGTAGATCTGTGGTCGGCCCCGAATGCCTTCCGGTCGTCGAGTACACACTTCGGCCAGTTCTGTTCCTGTCCCCCCTTACGTCGCTTCCCCCCCCCTGCCAGTTCGCCGAGCATTAGTTGTTTCGGGAGTCGCCCGTCCGGCTGCCTTGCCAATGCTCCCGCGAACAGTAGGCGTCGTTGTCGGATTGTGGCTTCAACGCTCTGGCATTCGACCCTCTTCAGCGTCTGGGCGTATAAGAGCTGCCGGTAGGTGTCTTTCTTGCGCTTGTACCCGATAACTCGAAGGAGCAGTCGGTGGTGTATCGACCGCAGCGTCTGGTAGTGGCCGCTGAGTGGTGACCATGTCATCATGCAGCCGTACAGCAGTGCCTCCATCGCCGCCGCCTGGAGCAGGCGGATCTTGAGCCGGAATGGCGCTTTCGGTCTGTCGAAGAGCTCCCGGCCATATCGCCTGAGGCACGCCCACGTCCTCTGCTCCTCTAAAGTTGATCTCCCGGGTGAGGTCGCCATGTTCGTTGACGAAGCCACCGAGGTACCGGAAGTCGGTCGTCTGTGATACAACGAAGAGGATGGCTTTGTGCGCGTGTTGACCCTGTATAGATCTATTTATCCTGTATGTGACGAAGGACCTCCGCCTCCACTCGTGACATCTTTTTGCAAGTACGTTGTCTCTCTCTCAATGAACGAAAAAGCGTGTACGCGTAGGTATCTAGTAGACTTAGATCTACTGCTGTGTAGGATTTCCACGCAGTGTACAACAGTAGTTGCAAGCAAGAAAGGGACGGGAAGAGGCGCCTACATGGAGTTGTTGTTTTGTTGCCTTCACATTAAACCGTATGTCAGCTGCTAAATGCCAAAATCTAGCAAAAGACTCTCAGCCCGTTGTCACGAAAGTGCTAGAGCCATCTGAGGATCTAAAGAACACGCACACATGTAACGAGAAAAAGGTATCCAAGAGCCCGAAGAGGTTCACCTAAAAATCCCTGCAGCACCGTATGCGTGCCCAAAAACTGAACTGCACGTCCGTCCCACCGTTCGACTACAGTAGCATCACCCCCTCCCTGTCCCACTCTATACCAAAACGGAAGATTGCCGACTACAGCATACTGCTGTCTGAAGTGCTGTCTGTACAAAAACACCATGGTAGGCATGGAACAAGCAGCTGGCGGGGCACAAAGCTGCTGTCTGAAGTGCTGTCAGAATGTGTCTGCGGCCGTACAGTGAAAAAGAACAACCAACCAAAGCCATCATAGCAGCAATTGACAATCACCCGAATCTCTCCCGATCGTCTGTGTTAGGCACTGCAGTGAAAAATATCGACACTAGCTAAGAATCGTTCCACATTGAAGGGGTCTCCCACGCAGCAGGCACAAAACCAACGCACCCGGGTTAGCCACGCCATCCTGACGGGTCTCTCTACAAAACCGGTGACGACGTCATCACATAAAACCAACACGGAAAGTCAGAAAAAAAACGAAAAAAATTGACAACACAGAAATGTTTGTCCGTGCGCCACGGGTCGATGTCGCCCGCATGCTCCGGTGCCAATGCTCCATCCGGCGCCGCTGTTGTCAGCCCGAGCAAAACGGCACTCGACCTGCTCCGTCCGTACACGCTCTCGTTGCTGTCCTTCCCAGTCGGTTCCTCGCTTTCTCCCTCATTGCACTCAAGGTTCTTGGTCTGAAAAAAATAAAAATTCTCGCGCCGAATGGTCAGCCAGCCTAGTTCAGCTCGTCGCCACCTGTTCCCTCCTCCTTTGATGGCGAAGCCAGGTTACTGAGGCAATACAGCTCCCTCTAGCAAACCTAGGGCCTTGTAGTGCCCGTCCACCTTTCTGATGGTGTCTGCCTCCGCGCACAAAAATGAGATGGGCATCACTGCCAACGCCGACGGCCAGAAAGGCCCGCGCATCTACATTTTCCCGCCTGACCCCATCAGTGCCGACCCAACTCCACCACCACACGCACGCCTCGCGGCGGATGCGCAGCAGCAAGAAGGTTTCGGTCATCCCTTGAGGGTGAGTCTAGCCCTGCTCGCCAGAAAGACCCCCCCCTTCGCTACAACCCATGTCTAAGCAAAAGCTTGTCGAGGAGCGAGGGGAAGAAGAGTAGATAGATGTAGATGGCGGCAAATATGGCGAATCGGTCCCGTCCTGTACTACCGTACCGATCTACTTGCGGTTTGAGTATACGATAGAGTCAAAGCAAGACAAGGGCGGGGAAGCGGCGAAGGTGGATGGATGGCGGAAAATGCCGTCCTATGATACAGGTCGAGTATGTGGTACGCTGAAATCAAGACAAAGGCGGGCAAGGGGCGGGGAAATCGGCGGGCAATTGGCGGGGCAAGATCCTTAAGAGAACCAAAACGCCAGTCAAGAGAGCACAGCGATTAGTCAAAATTGTCACACGAACCGTTCTCTAGCAAAATAAGAACAGAATCGGCCAACCACAGATGCACTGAGTGCACTTGCCGCCCCCATGAAACATACCCCTTCGCCGCTCTTCTGAACTGGCATCCTCGCTGTTGTAGTTACGCAAGTTCTGCGTTGCCTCGCCGCTACCCCAGCCACTTGTGTGTGGGGAAGGATCGGGCAGTGACAGGCACCGCCCGCGTCTGGCAGCAGCAGGAAGGAAATTGAAGACGCACCAACACAAAATCGTTCCTCTCGACGCCAAGGCTGCACACACAGCCGTACCCGGTATTCGATGAGCGACCCTTCGCCTGCTGCTGTGACGGACAGCAGCATGGAGGTGAGTGGGCGGCGCTGTCGTTGCACGCAAAGCAGTGTTGGTTTCTCTCGGCAATGGTGTAGCCTAGGTAAGCAGCGAGCGGTCAGGGTTCTTGTGGATGTTTCCTTGACGAGTGAGGATCGTGTTGCGTCGTGTTGCAGCATAGCAGACACAACTCCCGCTGTACAGCAGTCAGCGGCGAGCACTCAAACGCAAAGAGCTTGAACAGGCAGGCCAGCGCTTGCGAGTCACAGGCTCACCATCGGCTTCAAGTCACACGAAAGCTTGTGGCGTCTTTCTTGCGTGTGCTGTGAGAGTGCTTTTTTCACACAGCAGTTGTGGGCGGGAAGCTGCTACNTTTTGTGGGAATATATATGTGTTTGTTTTTCGCCCCCCGTCTTGCTGCACCCCCTGGGGTGTGGTGCAGGGCGGGGGATGCCTGGTCGGCGGGAACCCGGCACGGAACCCTCCGGCGTTGTAGGCGGGTGTGGGAAGCGTTCCCCGTTCTCCTTTTATTTTATTTTATTTTGATCGGTCTCCTCGACGCTCTTTCTCGTTTGGCGCGGTAGCTGGTCTTTCTTTCTATCATTTTGTGTCTCTTCCGAGTGGTTTGTGTACCCTATTTTTTTTGTTTCTTCGTGGGGTCGTGTATGCCGGGTTTTGAGACCACGGGCTCCCAATCTTTTTTTTTTTAGAGCTAACAACAACAACATAGCCTGGTGTTTTTTTTGTTGCAGGCCTCTTCCATGTAGCAGTTGACGTGTCCGCGTTTCCGCGGGCAGCCGTCCTGCTAGCATACACACAGCAGTGAAACGACAGCCGGCCTCTCTTGCTACCTCTCCGTCAAGCACATACTCAGACGCCGCCGCTGCTGTCAGTTGCCGATGTTGTCCTGAATCATTTGTGGCGTGCTAGGGACCCGCAGCACACTCCTCGGGGCCAAAAGCTGGCAAACCTGCTTCTAAAATCCCTAACTCAATTGTCGATACCGACTTCCCACCTTTTTCCCGCGCGCGGTGCAACCAACTTCTTTCGAGGAGCGTGTACATGTAGTTTGTGGTGGCTGGGGGGGCGGGCAGCTTCCATTAGCTTGAGTGGACAGCGAAAAAGAAGCAAGTATTCCTCGTGTACCGTACGATGCATTCTTCGACGTTTTGATAACTACACAAGGATTTTTGCGCGGGGAATTATTCCCCGCTTTGCTCATGTTACATGGAACGACCATACCCATTGGACGTATGCTAGACACACTTTCTTTCGTCCGGTACAGCAATCGGAAGATTTTCTGACTGCATTCCCCAGCAGTTTGTGGAGGCGCTCTGTGCAATAGGGCTCTGCTTTTCCTCCTTCTTCTGTGAGTTGTATGCACGACACAACGTCGGCTGTGCGAGGAGGTACGAACTGGTGTACACTGCTGTACACAGACAAGCAGGCGAAGAAGGCAAGAGGTTTGGTTCAGACAGACGATTTCGCACATCTGCCTTGTTTCGTGAATATACCCTGCCGCGACCACCCATCTCTCTTCCCTAAGCGCATTTCGTGTCCTCCTTGTTGCTGTGGGTGAAGCAAACGGTTAACCGTCTGATGCCTCCCACGGAGGAAGAAGTAGCGGCAAGCTCGCACGCCGTGGAGTCAACAACTATTTACATGATTTCGGTGGACAGCCCTCCCAGACCGTCCGGTCCAATACACATGAGAGGAAGCTGCGCGACACGCGACCGCTCGCCGACTTTATGAACAGGCACGACTGCTATCTACTCCTACAGAACAAAAAATGCTGCTCGGGAAATAGTGGAAAACGCAGGTAGCTTCCGCCGACTCGATGAATCCATTGCTATGTGTAGTCTATCCACGACGCTTTTAGCTGTGGAGGAGATGAATTCGTTGTGTTGTTTTGTACATAAAATGATAAATCGAAACAATGTGTTTGTTTTTGTGTTTCCTAAAATAATGCGAGAGCAACGGTGCCGAGGTAGGTGCTATGGAATCCACTACATAGAGTATCTACGACGCTTTCGGCTGTGGAGGAGATGAACTCGTTGTGTTGTAGAATGAGCAAACAAAACAATGCAAGCGCAGGAGTGCCGTGGTAGGTGCTATGGATGAGACACGAAAGGAAACTTTGCGTTGTTGGCGCATGTCTATCTACTTTATGGCGGTGTGCTTGTGTGGAATTCTATAACTGGCTTGAAATCGCCGCTTATACGGGATCGCGCGTCATTTCGTCCCGCGCAGTCCGCATCATCATGTATCACAGCGTCACAGCTGCGTGTGTGCCTGGACACCGAGCGGAGGGGCGTCACACTGCACCAACAGCAATTCAAAGTACTGACAATGACTTGGAAAGTCAGTGTGTGCCCGCTTAAAACACCGGCACGATACCGGGCATTGGCACTATTCAACCGGCACTAAACACGGACCCCCACTGTACTCAAAAGATTATGCTGTACTTCTTTCTTGTTTTTTCTGCTTCGGGGGCGTCATGTCATTGTATGCTTCCGGGTGGACAAGAGAGGGTGCGTGGATTACATTGAGCGCCAGCACTTGAGAAATCGATATAGCCTCTTGTCGAACACTCAAAATCTTGAGCACCATTTGTGAGCTCGGTTAAGAAGACCTACACTAAAACCTTTACAATGGTCATTCGCAGCGTAGCCCTAGGAACTAAGAACACCGTCCTCGGCCTACAAAACTAGATGTTCTTGAGTGCTGGCGCTGAAGGTGGTGTCCGCAACGATGATATTCTTGCGGGCCCACACCAGGACATGTCTATACAGAAAGACGGGAAACAGACGTCGCACAGCAGTCACGCCAGCGTCAACCCACCATCATGTTACGACCACGGAGTAGCAACCAGCAAACCACCCAACCTAGACCTGTTCCGAGAGCAAGAGCTAAGGATCATGCGGCACACCTTCATCGCGGGTGTGTTTCCCTCTATTCCTTGTTCATCAGGCCGCTGCCGATGCCCCTGGTGTCACCGCTGCTGCTGCTGTAGCGGCGGCACCGGCGCCCGCGCCGGAGGTTGTTGCCGTTCCGGCTACTCCCGTCAAGGCCGGCGCTCCTGACATCGAGAAACAGATCGTGAACGCGGGCCCTAAGGCGGACAAACCCGATGACTCCAAGACCAAGCCCGAGCCCAAGCCACAGGTTTGGTTGTTGTCGTGGAATGTTAAAAGTATGCGTTCGCGTGTGGGTGTGGGCTGCGGTGACGCTCGGCATAGCGTTCCCGGCTGTGCTTCAAGTATCACAGGCCACGAACCACTGCTGTGTAGCCCTCAAGGACGATGTTGTAAATGATTAAGAAATAATCTTCAAAACGTGAAACATTTGCGTGCATGCTGTTTGTCTCGTGTTGTTTTTTCGTATTGTCTTGCCATGACTCTTACAATAATCCTCACGTTTGTCGTCGCATGTCTCCATAGGCAGGTCGAACAAGCTTGCTTA